ATATATATATATATATATATATATATATATATATATATATATATATAATGCATTTTTATACAAAGCATTATTTTTATTTTGCATTTTTATATTGCATTTTTTTCACCTGATGGCTGGCTGGAGTCCTGTTTTGTCAGGTGAAAAGGAGGAACCCAGACCCAGACCAGTGCTCATTCCATATGTTGAGGGAGTATCAGAGAAACTGAGACGTTTATTTTCTAAACATAACGTCCCAGTGACTTTTAAACCCCAAAATACATTACAGCAAAGACTGGTTCATGCCAAAGATCCAGTCCCCCAGCACAAAGAATCAGAAATCAGAATCAGAATAAACTTTATTGGAAGTGCACCTAGGTACAACGCGAATATGTACGTACAGTCGTCCGAAAGATGGGCAGAGTGCACGAAGCTGCAACTACAGGAGAGTGCGGCCATTTTATCCTTATCAGATAATAATCTTAGATAGGAAAAGGGGGAGAAACATGAGGGTAGATAGTGGTATTACAAAAAAAGATCTTTCACATCTTGTCTATCAGGACACGATTTGAGACATCAAAAAAACTCTACCAGCAAGCACAATTAAAACATGATGTAGTGTTCTAAAGGGCTAGGTTAGCTTCAGAGCTTCACTACAGTCATATTTAAATAATGGATTCTCTCTTTTTCGAGCTAATCACAGCCATGTGACAGAAATAACTGTGCCTAGCTGGTTTTATCAGTGACATGAGACATTAATTTTCTTTGACCCATCAAAATAAATTGGTCATTTATTGAACAGAATCAAAATTTAACATCAAAACATTGTACACTTGATTAGACTGGTCTGGTTCTGATTAATAAAACTTGGCACGTTTTACTTAATAAAAACAACAGACATTTCTGAAGGCATCTGGATAAATTACTGGCAAGATAGAAGAGTTTTAAAGATGGGAAATATGGAGGAGTTTAAAGGGAGATGTTGAAGGAAGATGTATGTCTGTAGACCAGAACAACACGCTCCTTCCAAACGCAGTTTGCCTGCGGTACACTTCGCGTGAAGCTCGTGACGACTCTTTACCTTGGCAGAGGATGGGTCCGCTACGGTCAAGAGGTCCCTGGCACGCTACCTTTCAGCGTCTCCTCAGGGCGGCTGCAACTCGGCAGAAGTCGTGAGATACTCCGTTCTACAGAACAAACTTCCTCAGAAGTTGTAGGGCATTCGCCTGGTGATAGTCACAGCGAGGCGCCGTGACCACAGCAGAGATGGATGACTCCATCAGACTGGAAAACTGAGTCCGAAGTTCCACTCAGCAGTGGACAAACTCCAGAACTCCAGAACAGCTAGAGCTGAAGAACAGAACTTCACTCCAGAACTACTCCACAAGACCCCAGAAGACTCTAGAAGACCAATAGTTCCAGGAAGTGTCGACTTTTAAAGAGTTCTGCTTCCGGTCCCTTTGGTAAGTCCTGATTGGTTGAAGCAACCAACAGGGGTGTGGTTCTAGTGATGTCAAAGGGTTTTTACAAGTCAAGAAAACAGCAAGAATGTTTTAGGAACAGACAGAGAAATGTTTTGGCGAAGTGAGAAACTGCAGGTGCCAGTTTTCTTATTTACTGTCTGAGAGTTTTAAAAACACGACAGCCCGTTCTAACAACTTGTTTTTGATTGTCTCTGACTTTTGACCGAGATCACTACTTCTCATTTCAGACAGAAGATCAAAAATGCATAATTACTTTGTAAAATAGACATTTAACTTGATTTCTAATTTAAATGAGGATTAAAAAATCATTAATACTGTTTCACTGTTGATTTAAAATGAGTGGTTCACTTCAACATTTAAAAATGGTATGAACTAAACACACTTTTGATTATCAAGATATTGTAAAATAGTGATGATAATATAAAAGAAGAGTGTTCTTTCAATTGATTACTTCAGGATACAATTAGACAGTCTCTGGATGAGCTAATTTGTATTTCTGGATTCAAATCAATGAAATAACAGTTCCTGTCCCATGAAGGTCTTCAGAGGCAGGTTTTGGTCAGAGGCCTAGTTCACTATAATGATCACATTTGCATTTGACATCAAGGTGTTGAGATTTGTCCATGAGTTTTTTCAGATCAGCCACAGTTTCTGAGGATGTTGTTTTCAGCCAGCAGTTCTGATAAGCTTGCACAGAGAGTTTTTGGGGGGTGGGGGGTGGGGGTGGGGGGGTGTTGGATAGATGAAGCTTTTGTTTGTCCTTTGGTACTCATGTCCCAGGAGAAATTTGATAGTCAGCCCGTCTCTGAGGCCATTGGGTGTCAGATTAGATAAGCTTAATATTTGTTTTTCTTCAGGCAGACAGATTTTTTTCTTCAGCCTTGAGTCCATCTGGGCATTCTGGTTCCGAAAAAGCCTAATTGTGGAATTTAGTTTCACTGATCCATGCTATAAGTCTCCTTCAAGGTCGAACCCACCACGCTGACGAGTCCCAGAAGCTGCAGGTGGTCTGCGATTCTCAATCGCCTCCACCTTACTGTCAAGCTCATAAACCAGACAATTTAAAGTTCCCACAGCGAGTACCAGACCTTCACACTGACTCAGTAGCTTTTCCATGGCCAAAACTGCTCCCGCTGTCTTTTTCAAATGTCGATAAAACAGAGCCCCGCCGATGCCATAAAGCAGAGTCCCTGCTATCATAAGTTCAAATATGTAAACGTCTTCAACATCTTCTTGAGACAGAACAGAGGGGCACATCATCTGCCGCACTCCCCACGAATCCATGACGTACCCCACAGCGTGAGTCTCAGCTGGACATGCCGGTTCCCCAGGACCTTGTTGCTTTGATGAAAAAATCTTATAAATAGAGTTGAACGCCCACAATACCAAATCCATAATCTTCTTAATTTATGTTCGGGAGATGAGACCCAGGCGCTTCAGACAGACAGAGAGCAGAGCAGGAAGAAGGAAAAACGGGGGAGGAGAAAACAGAAGCTGCCACCTCGATCAGAGCCTGGGAGGAACAAACAGAGTAATATTGTGTATGCTGCTCAGTGTCAGGAGGGCTGTGATCAGTCTTACATTGGGGAACTAAACAGCCACTGGCCAAAAGGATGGCCCAACACAGAAGATCAACATCATTAGGCCAGGACTCTGCAGTCCACACTCATCTCCAGGCCAGAGGTCACTCTTTCAGGGATGAAGATGTGCACATCCTTGATAGTGTTGGATTTAATATTTTATACCTTTTTATAATTCCTATCAAGCACTCAAATGTCGTGTCATATAAAGTATGTGTGTGTCTCTCTTCCAAGGTTGAACTATGTTTATAGAAAGTGTTTGCTAATTCTAACTAGTTGACCTTTAAATATAATCTCATAGTAGCTAAAGATAATTTTACAAGTTCACATTTGATAAATTACAAGCAATCAAATCAGGCCAGAGAGCAGACTGATTAACATAAATAAAGCTAGAACAGCTCTTTAATTTAGACTATAGGTTGACTAAGTAAAATCAAATTAAGAGTATAACCATGATCCAAATAAAAACACGAACATAAGTTAGATAATATAATTATTCCTAGAAATAAACAACTATTTCAAATCAGTGTTATCACTAAGGTATAATCACGTTAAACAAACAGTGTTAACAGTTTTAAACGCAGACACAGAAACTAAGATGAATCTGCCTTAAAAACAGAATCACCAGACCTC